CAACTTTCTTCGACTGCTGTTGGGACTTCTTCAAGGTCGTGTGATTCTGCTCCGTTTTTATTTTTTCCTGCTTTTAACTCCGGTTTGCGACCAGCATAGAGAACTTGGGGTCCATGGGTGGGATAGAAAGTAGTAAATAAAACTACAGAGGAAAATATCTTCTGCTCCTGGAAAATCGGGGTAGCAGAACTGAATTCCCACATGGAGCTAAGTTGTGGCTAACCACAGTTTACTGAATCAGACAGAATTGGCTGGGTTCACACATCCTGAAGCCAATGGCTTGCAAGTCACAATGGCTGAAAACTCAATAAATAAATAAATAAATAAAATGCTAACCTAAAACCCAATGGCTAAGCCAAGCTCCTCTCATGGAGAGGCTGGCGGAACATTTGGCTGCTTTGATGCTTATCTAAAAATGCCCAAATTCCATCCAGATACTTGACAGACAAAAGGGAGAGATTTACAATCTCTGAGAGGCATAAAAACAGTCCATGAGTGCCCCACACAGCTGATTTCTCAATTGCAAATCAATATCCTGCACAGTTTATCCATCTTTCAACTGTTTCTTTTTAGCCTGCAGTGCTGCAAGTCAATCAAAAAGCATTGCATGAATTTAGTCATAGGAGTGGTACTTCTTCTTTCTTATGGGATAGGAGCAACAACAATACCCTCGGGCCGATCTCTCTGGTGGCCAGAGAGGGTATCTTTGACAAAATGTACATCACAATGTGCCCTTGTCCCTGGAAGCTCACCATTACTGCTTGGCCTGTAAAGATCTCAGGTTCAATTCCCAGCAGCTTCAGTTTTAAATGATCTCAGGAGCCAGCGATGGAAGACCTGGAGCGCCCATGCCTCTTGGAAGCACATCTCTTACTAGAGCACATTTTGCAGACAGAGATTTTCTCCTCCCGATTGTCAGCCATGGCAACAGCAAAATGATGCAGCTGGCACCTTACCCCATTGCCATGCTTGCCTAACTGAGGTTTGTGGGCTAAGCCATAATGGGATTAGTTCTCCTCACTGGTTCAACATTCAGTCAGCCACAGAGCTCAATGCAAGGGGAGGCCCTGCCAATTCTACTGCTGCAGAATGGGGATGAGTGGAATTGCACATTGCATCAAAGCACTGGAGGTTCAGTTCGGTTTTGGCACTGCTGGATGCTTAGATATTCTTTAACATCTGAATTTCTTACCACCTAGCCACTAGCAGGGGAACCCTGGGATTTCAGGAGAAGAAAAACCAAAGGAAATACTGCCATTTCCACCCTACTGATTTGGAGCATCTTAGAACCTCCCGCAGCCTATGTTGTCCCAGCAGAGGGGGCCTTCACAAGATCTCAGCAATAGCCAGAAGAGACTTGCAATGCTCTGGATCACTAGGATGGAAATGGCCCAACTCTGAGCCAGAATAAAACCAATGGGAGTTGTAATCCAACACAGCTGGAGGGCAACTGCTTGCCAAAAGGTTGAAACCGAAGGTAGAGTTAGGCCAGTTTAGAGGGACGCTGCATTTAATACTCAGTTAGGAGAAGGAGAAGGAGAAGGAGAAGGAGAAGGAGAAGGAGAAGGAGAAGGAGAAGGAGAAGTTACTGTTACTTGGCTTCAGGAGGTGAGAAGCTCTTCCCCTCCAGGGAACACAGTTGCTTCTCAAGAGTGCCATCAGGACAGGAGACAAGTCCCACCTCCAGGCTCGAAAGAGAAGGGCTTCCACTAGGGGCCAACGATCTGACTTTCCAGACCGGGGACTCAGAGGGATGAGACCCAGAGAGCTGTCAGGTGAGGGTGGGCAGGGTCTCCAGGGCTACACACACAGACCAAACCCGAAGCCTCTATCCCAGTGTTTCTCAACCTTGGCAACTTGAAGATGTGTGGACTTCAACTTCCCAAATTTCCCCCACCCCACAGTTGTCTGGGGGGTTG